ATTTTTGCATTGAAATCTCCTAGCAGAATTTTCATGTGATACTTGCCAAATGTATCAAATACTGATTCCAATTCTTCATAAAAGCTGTCCTTGATATCATCGCTTTTGTCCTGAGTTGGGGCATGAACATCAAGGACAATGATTTCGCACCAACATCCTTCCAAAATTACGTAACAAATTCTACTCTCTTAACTGCTGCCCTAATTCTGATATGAACAAAATAACCCGTCCCTAACTGATGATTTTCATTCCCTTTTCCATAGAAAAATGTGAAATTGTCCACAGGGATCGTGCCCTCCCCCTCCCATCGCACTTCCTGCACTGCCACTAAGTCTAACTTATAATTCTCTAATTCCCTACTCACTGATTTCAGTGCCCCAGCCTTATAGAGACTCCTAATGTTCCACGTTCCAAATCTCATATCCTTTTTCAATTGCCATGGTCGTGCCAAAGAGTCCATCCTGATCAGAGGCTTGGTTCATGTGTTCATAACAATGCTTTTTTTGGGGGGTGAAAGGTTGTTAGCCTGGAGGACCAGGGTACTTCCCATAGCCTATACAATGATAGCAGTTTCAGCGACGGGATACTTGAAGCTGTATAACAGAGGAAAAATTGTTATATTTTATAGACCTTGTTTCATAAAGAAGTGAACAATGTGCACTGATAATTGCCTGCTTAATAAACAGGAGCGACCCAGGAGATGTAACAGCCCCAAAGTATGTAACCTGTGGCACAAGTCAGGTGTACGATATATGCGGACCTGTCAGCCTTGCCCAGATGTCTACCCATGGACTGGCAAGACGGGCGTCAGAAACAGCAGAGTTGACAATGAAATTACTGAAGAGTCATAAACCAACAGGAAAACAACACATCAGAATTCAGACATTTGTAAACAACTGATTCTTGTTTAAGAAATGAAATCCTAATTACATGCACAAACCAAATTTTAGAAAATCATGAATTTATTTAAAACTGACTTTTGTAAATTTCTTGAAGATGAGTGTCTTCAGGGTTGTTGCACCATGTAATCTGGTAGAAATTTACTGATGTTTCAGAAGTGCTTGCTGCCTCCATCATAAGCACTTCTAAAACATCCATAAAATTCTACTAAACTAATGGCACAACCCAGAAGATGGTCATCTTCATACCTGCTGCTGTGAGAACCTCAAATCTCACTATGTAAACTTATTGTTTATAAATAATCCATCTAAGGGTTTCATGTTAAAGAAATAATGTAGTTAAGATAAACTGGCCTCACATAAATTATTTCCAATTGGAATACACAAGATTATGCAAGAGTTTAAACTGAACAGACACAAGAGAAACACACCATATTCAAAAGCAGTTTTTGACAGTAAACTACATATAAATTAAAAAGTGATGTGACTACAGAAATGTAGTTACTTGAAATCTGAACAAACTTTAATGAGAATTTTATTCTTTACTGTGAAGCACATTATCAGATGGCTCAACAAGTCAGCACATTCTTTTATGTACATACACATATATGCCATTTGAAGGTGCTTAGACTCTGATAATAAGGACTCCATTGAAGCATTTTTATATTCTTTGCATTGGTTATTAGCAAGAAAAATGCTTCACTAAAGCCCTTAACCACAGGATAAAAAGCTACCTTTGAACAAGGAGTGAAATTCGGGGTATCAAGAATTGGTGGTTGGGTTAATAATGTTTCTTGCAAAAATCCTTTGTTGATGGGGCATATACGCATGACAGCTGCGCTTCTGTCTTTTATTATGCCATACACATTTCATACATAAACTGAAAAAGAATTATTTATATGTGATATACTAAATACATTTACAAAGTAGAATACATATGAAATATAAATTATAACATATCTGAAGCACAGCTAAGATGCCCTTTTGGTCATTGCAGAACAAAACTGACTTCTTGAACACAATGAAAATATGTGCCCTGAATACTGCTTAACTGATTATATTACCATTATAAAAGATAAAATATAACTTACACAGCACTACAGTAATGTGAAAGGTTCTGGGATCCCTCATTGGAATTTATCGATCAATAATTATATACATAAGAAAGATGCACATTCCACTTCTTTTAAAGTTCAGTGAAATTGTTTAGTTTTATTTTGTACACAAAAGTCAAGCTACACATATTCAAGTTAACAATTAACTTTTAAAAAATATAACTTATTAAATATTTCAATTATAATAGAGATCATTTGGTAGATTTAATTAAATCCAAACATGTGACAACTAAAATATCACCAAACATTTAATGTATATAGTAAATAGATTTTGGGGTAAACAACTATTTCTTAGCTAAGGGAAATATGCAGGCATGTTGCAACTGTTTCAAATCAGACTTCATGAACTTAATACAGTATGCCCCAGAAACAAAGCTTTCACGCTAAATCTTCCAGTACCTAGTTGTCTCTACTGTATGCGTATGATTGTGTGTATGTATGTGTTGTGTGCCCTGATACCAATGACAGATTGATAACAGTATTGATGTTGCTTATTATAATTATTATTTATTGACCCTGTTTGCCATTAATTATACTCATGTAGTTTAACTTAAATGTAAATGTTGAAAATGGAGGCAATCATCAAGTGCACTATGCATGTGTGGCTTATCAGGTATATTAGCCATGGAAACAGGACTAAACTTCTGCTGCCATTTGCACACACTAACCCTGAAATCAAAATCTTAGAAACAAGGGAATCACATCTTGACAAGTTTTATTAAATAAAAATAATTCCTCAGAGCCATTAGACTATGTAATTGAAAGCACACCAAGATATAGTCATCATGCATACTGTTGGATACTGTGAAGAAATTAATGTATAAAATGAAAAAGCAACAAGCAGTGTTTGAGATGCAAACACCCAATTCAGACTGGTGCACTAGAGTATACTATTTACATTGTCATGTGTTTAGCAATATTTTGCCATTCCTTGTTCTGAATGAGTTCTACAATAAATATTTAAACTACTGGGTTAACACACAGAAGCACTGTAATGCTACTACAATCAAGCAGTTGTATTCAAAATTCTCTTTTCTTTTAGTAAGGAAGTATTCTTTCTTGACTTAGGAACATCAAAGTTTCCATTATGATGATTAACTGTTGGTTGTTATAACATATTTTGAACAAGCACAAGAACAGTCAAGTAATGGTTATATAATTCTTGAAAAACTATAGTGGCTCTAGACTTCATACAATCAAACATACATGAAAATGGTATTAAAAATTACAATACAAAATACAAACTGGCTTCACTTGAGTACTTCCGCAAAAAAGTAAGACAATACAATGCTGTATGTTTAATTTATTTCAAAAATATGTATTTTTAAGACATATCTGTTGCTCCAACTCATAAGACCCTTCAAATTTGCTATGGCTGATAAAAATATGACAAGTACATAAACATTATTTGCTTATAGAAAAGATGAACATTTTAAGTGATGCACTTTCTAAAGGGAGACACAAAGTATGTTTAAAAAGTATGATCTGCTTGCCAAACCACTTACAAAGTTTTCAACTGATATGTTTGAATGGAATTCAGACAAGAACATTTTTTGTTGGCTAAGAACCCAGTTTTAATAATTCAGTTTACAGATCTGTTTTTTCTTCCCCTAACAGTGCTGCTTCAAATTTTTACAAATGTATTGGTCATTCCTTAGTCAGTGTGTTCAATTTTTGTAAAACCCCTCATATTCACTATAGCATATCTGATAGCCAGCTTTAAAATTACCTTTTGTTTATAGGCACAAACAATACATAAAGTTACAATTGACCTATAGTGAGATTGTTCTCATTTGCCAATCTATCCATAGGTTTCAACTACAAGAACACTCAGAATTTTGACAATATTCACTATTTGAATAGAAGTTTAGGCAAAGTCCATTTAATCCATACTCCCTAATTAGAGCCCCTAAAGGACACAGATGGATTTTTGTCTCTTTTTAAATTCTTTTATAAATAAAATAACATTTTGGATTGATACATAGTCTTAAATTGAAAGTACCTGAGTGGTATGGCACAGTTCCAGTTTGAAAGAAATGAGCTGTTTCCACTATTACTTCATGACAGTTCATGCTTTCAAATGTTGAATTGAACAATAGCTGAAAAATGGATAGCACAATTAAGGAAATTTTAATTCTACAGCAAATAACTTCTACGAGAGCATACTTCATCTTATATTTGTGAGGGCTCACACACACCTTGCCCTTCCATTACACTGCCTATGACTGATATCTCCAGTGCTCTGGTGCTGAAGAAATCACCAAGGTGCACTCTGCCCTGTTCAAGGTGGGGAAGGCTTTCAATGTGACAAAATCTAACTTTAGCACTAAAATACCAATATATATGACCTTATTCATTGGACTAAGGTTTAATTAATGGAAAGGGTATTACTTTTCTCTTTATCACTGTGGCCCACTGAGCTTCCTACCTAACAAAGTATGAAGATCTATTTTGAATGCACGAAACAATGTTTACAGGCTCCCTGTACTGAAATTGATGAAAAGAAATTCTTTCTTCTGCGAAAAATAGTAACATTTCCTTCAAAGAATATCTGACTTTAACAAACCACATAATGAGTTCGATTAACATGCAGAATGGTAAAAATTTGGCTGCAGTGCAGTAATTATATTTGTTAATCAAATCCCCTAGCAATCAGTTTCTTAAAATTAAACTATATATGAGGGAAAGGAGCAACAGTTTCTTGGAAAGTCTAATGGCATTGTTATGTGATTGATACAAAAAACAACACTACTATAATATATATACACACATATAAACAATTGCAATTATAGTAAGCATATAAATCTCACTGAGAATCAGCGATATCTTTGCATGGTTAATTTTTTTTGTATTGTGATACCCATGCAAATCAAATATTAAAATTAAAAGTTTCTGTAACTTAAGAAGCAGACATATTTAATTTTCCTACCAGAATGAGGAATCCCAGTTACAATAAAGACTACTAGTTACTGAGAAATTAATATATCCAAATCCTATGTTCTTATGGAACCCAAGTTGAATACCATCAAACTCAAAAACTTGTTTACAACTACTCTCAGCTAGATCAAGCCACCCCATATACCATGTCTTCAACCTTAAGACCCCACCCCACCTATATGTTGATCCTCAATGAATTTACATCATTCCTTTCCCTTCAAGCCCTCTCTCCTTCAAATGTTTTAGTGTATATGAAGAGGATAACAAGGATTAAAAAATGTAGTGATCCATTTCTGTGCATAACTTCACGTAGTATAAACTGATTACATTAAACTTGCACCATGTCCTGAGTTCCTGCAAACACTGCCATGTTTGTAACTGCTAACACATAAAAGAATTAATTAATAGGAGCTACACTTATGATGATGATCTACCTGCATAAGAAATTTCAGACACTACTTAGATCCAGTGGTTTCTTACTTATCATCATCAAATGGAAACTGATATGTTTATTGTGTGTGTGTACACATACACACACACAGTTCCATGAAATGTGGTGGGAAATCATTGATTAGGTAAGTAGGATTTGAGGTTTTCATGGGGGTGAGTATGAAGATGGCTGTCTTCTGGGTTGTAGCTCTTATAGTCTGGTAGACATTTACCAACATTTCAGAGGTCCTTGCTGCCTCCAACCCAGAAGACAGCAAACTTCCATTTAAATTAGCTAGTTTTGAGTCAACAGTGTTATATAAATGTGTGTCTGATTTTTGAGCTCTACAGAGTTATAAGCATATAAGTTACAGACAGATTTTACTCTGCAGTGGAAAATCAAAGGAAAATGAACACAATTATTTATAAACACTGCTAATAGAGGGTAGAATGTCTCAGGGCTGTGAAGACTAGGATTATGGTATTTTGAGTTATGACATCATATAACCTGAAGGTGGATACCACTGTTTCAGAGGAACATTTGCCCCAAAGATGGAGGTGATATGCCCCTCTGAAATGTTGGTAACCATCTACAAGAATCAGAAAATCATGGTCTTCAGTGCTAATAAAGTCATAAATGTAATATGCAAAGCTAATGTCAGATACAAAGAATAACAAAAATGAAGATCAGAATATAAAAAACAATAATTTTGCCTGTTACTTTATATGGCTGTGAAACATTGTCTCTTACCTCGAAGGAAGAACTTAAATTACAAGTGCTTGAAAACAAGGTGCTCAGGAAGATATTTGGACCTAGGAGGGATAAAATAAGGGGGGAATTAAGAATATTGTATAACGAGGAACTGCATGAATTGTACAGGTCACCTAGCATAGCGAGGATACTGAAATCGAGGTGGATCCGATGGGCTGGACATGTAGCTCGCATTGGGTGGAAGGCAAGGGGTGCATACAGAATAGGGAATCCTCCTGGAAAACGACCAATGGGCAGACCAAGGAGATGGGAGGATACCATCAAGATGGATCTTAGGGAGGTGGGCTGCGAGGATGGCAAATGGATAAAGTTGCCTCAGGGTCAAGACCAGTGGCAGGCTTTGGTGTTGTCGGTGTTGAACCTGCGGGTTCTGCTACCAGGGAGTGAGTGAGTTAGTAAAACTGGGTTGCCTTCATTGCCCCAAGGTAGAGGCAGCCTCATACCTACAAACTAGATCACCTTGAACTGATGCAGGAAGAGGTCCAGAGCCTGGCCAGGGAAAGGCAACATACTGTATTTGTTTGGCACATGGAGAGAACAGATCAAATTACAATTGTGTCAAGAGTGGAGTGTGACTGTGTGCACTGCTGCTTCAAGACTACCACACAAAACTTGATTTGTGAATAATAGAAGAACAGAAGCAATGAAGATATAAATGTGATATTCTAAACAGATGAGAGTAAAAACATCAATTTTATATTTCTGTTATAATAAATCAATTCAATTTTAGATTTTGTGTACAAAATACTAATTCCCCCCACAAGGTTTGAAATGTATTTATCCTGTTGATTTTGGTGCAACAGTTCCTGAGATATCAATTCTATTGTAAAAGCTTGCGTAAACAATTAAATACCAGTAAATTAAACTCGGCCATGCTGAACTGTACACCGGCGATTTAAAAAGGTACTTCAAAGGTTCAGAAATAACTAGTATGTTAGTATAGTAGTTAACTATGACATCGCACTTGTATTTCTAATTATGAAACAGTACAGACACGTGTAAGAAAATACTTTAGTCTGTAAACTGGATGTTAAAAGTGACTTACAACCAGGGCTGTGGAGTCAGAGTCAGAAGCAATTTTAGGTGGAGTCGGAGTCGTTAAAATGTACCGACTCCGACATAAAATCTTAAAAACACTTTCACTACCATGTGGGCTACTGGCGGCCTCACGCTTAGGGAGATTCAACAACGCGTTGAGCCACATGGCGTGGGATGCCTTGTAACTTTGGCTCCAGTACCTTAAGAATACAAACTGTCTACAAATCAACAGATTTCTGCAATAACCATTAGACATATATTTAAATACTGGGATACTGAGAATGACCTGTTCAAGTGCCTGAGCACTGCGGGTCCCAACTTTTCGTTGGCTTGATCAGTAGACATTCGGTAGGACTCATTGGACGAGGGATCGGCCCGTCGCAAGGCCTCTACCTGTACACAGGACAGCACAATACAAAAAGACGCAAACAAACATCCATGGCTTGAGTGGGATTCAAACTCATGGTCCCAGCAACCAAGCGGCACAAGGCCCACACCTCAGATCGCACGGCCACTGCAGATCCCGTATATTTAAATATAGGTTATAAGTCTAAAAAGTAGCCTGATGATTAATGTGGTGGTGATGAAATGGCTTGTGGTACCAATTACCATTTTACCAATTACCAATATTAATACATATTGAGCTTTCATGAAGGGGTAGGAGTCGGAGCCGAAGATTTTAGTACCGACTCCACAGCCCTGCTTACAACACAGAAAACATTTGCACTCTGTACTGAAAATTATTTTGTAACATAATTTCCATAACTGTTACTAGTATTTCCAAAATTCAATTCAACAAAAGTACATATTAAAATGATAACAACTAAGTCCTGCTTCTAAGTTTATTTAGTGATGCTTTTTCTTTGGCATATCAAATAAACAGATATTGAATACTGGACTGACACAGATGGAGAAAGAATCTGTTGTGGGCTATTTAAAGAAAGGCACAATCCCAACATTTGTTTGAAAAAAAGTCAGGAAAGCTAGCTAGGTCCTCCAAAATATAAAGCACATATGCTAACCATTAAACATGACCTTTGGTTATACATTTACTGCAGTATCAAAGTATCAATGTATATGTGTTTGTAACCAGCCTCAAATTTAACATCATAATGTTGAATCTGTTTCAGTTGAATTGTGTATATTTCTTCCTGTTCATTAAGTTTCATTAGACTACATTCTTATTTATGAGGAAAAATAATGATGTCATTGCCTGTAGCTATACTCCCAGAGATAAATGACTATCATTAAGATTCATCAGACACCGAGTGGCACCAAACCTTATTTACATATACAGTGTCCCCACAAAGTCCCTTCACAGTTTTGAAAAATTGGGGAGCGCAAATTGAGCTACCCACGTGCGGTTTGCGGCAGATTACAGTGAAACTCTGGAAGGTTTTTGCTGACCTCAGTAGACCTCGATGTGGGCTCCCTTGCTAGCACGGAGAACGTCCAGACGATATTCGAGCTCTTGCCATGTTCTGTGGAGCATGTCCACTGGAATAGTCGAGATCGCATTCCTGATATGGGTCTTCCGGTCATCAAGTCCATTAACTGGTGTTCGGAACACATTGCTCTTGACATAACCACAGGAAAAATGGACCGTCTCTGCAAAACCATCTTCCTGGAAACATGCTGGAACTGTACACAGTACCACAAATTGAGACTTAGAGCCACACATCATTCTGCAACAAGATAGTGCTCCACTTCATTGGGGTCTGCAGGTACGCGCGTACCTAGACAGGACATTTCCAGGAAGATGGATCGGCAGATTGGCCTCCACGTTCACCAGACATAACACCACTGGATCTTTTCCTGTGGGGTTATGTCAAGAGCAATGTGTTCAGAACACCAGTTAATGGACTTGATGACCTGAAGACCTGTATCAGGAATGCGATCTCGGCTATTCCAGCGGACATGCTCCACAGAACATGGCAAGACCTCGAATATTGTCTGGACGTTCTCCATGCTACCAAGGGAGCCCACATTGAGGTCTACTGAGGTCAGTAAAAATCTTCCAGAGTTTCACTGTAATTTTCCACAAACCGCACGTGGCTAGCTCAATTTCTTTGTGCGCCACAATTTTTCAAAACCCCGAAGGGACTCTGTGGACACACTGTACAATAGTACCATTAATACAAACATGGCAACTGTGCAAACACCTGTGATGGGTGCAACATTAACACACTGTAAAGCCACAGTTAAGAGAATTTTCATTATTACGTGAATCTTTAAGATTACTTTCATGTAGACTGTAACATATAATGGTACTCATAAAAACTTCATATCTAATGTTTAATTTCATGTTGAGTGACTGCATCTAGGTATGGATCATATGTTACTGAGTGGCAAATGACATTAGATGATCACATGTGGCAATCTTGAAAGGATTAGTAAATGTTCACAGTTCTTTTTTAAAGTATTATCTCCCATCTGCCTGGAGGATAGCTGTATATTGAGGCTGATATTCAACTTGGTCATCTCCCAAATACATTACCACTCAAGCAAACTTGCTTACAATGGATATGGTCTTATAAAACCAACAAACTTTGTAAAAAAGTGTTATAAATTACAACCATGGCCATATTATGAACATTTAAGGTTCCTCTCCTATCAAGGTTGTAACACTCAGGATGACATTAAATATTATTCTCTCAGAGAAAATGGAAAGAATATCTGTAAAAAATGGGAAATCCCCACAGCTGACTTGTGCTGGAACATCTTGCTTCTCACAAACATATGGCATGGGCTTCAGACACTTCATTATCATCAACTTTATTGGAATTACTACAGTAATAATATAAGCAAAACATTTACATATAGTAATTTCTCCACTTAATGTAAAGTAAAGAACACGTACCACTTTTTAATTCACATAATTTTATTTCTAATTTTAATATGATTAGTAATGAGCAACATGGCAAACAATGCTGATGAACACAATGTTGCTTTCTTCTTCTTATACACTTGTCTCCTCCTACTTGGAGCATCGGGGCCACCTTTAGGAGGTTTCTGATATATTTGAGACATTTGATAAGGATTCCTTGGAAGAGTGATCAGCCCATCACAAAGCCTCTACCAAAGACATGGGTGAGAAATGGCTGCTGAATTTTGCTTACAGAACATCTTGTTCATGCCCATAAGGTTCTTTTACATGCCGTAAATCTACGACATGGAACCACTGGCTTTACTTCGCCTCTAAAGGAAGTCATGCTATGGATTTTTATCACCCCCTTAAAAATCCATCAACCTCAGCCAGGTTTCAACCGGCAAGCATGCTACCACTAGACCACCAAGGTTAACTAAAATGTTATTTTTCCACTTCATTTACGTAGCATTTTTCAAAAACACAATCACTATGTAAATCAAGAAACAACTGTACTTCATTTCTAAGGTTATTAAACATTATATTTGTGCTTTCTTGTATAATGGTAGCTCATGATACCTTGGCAAACCACACATCAAATGCAACAATTGTCTCACATGTACAATTTCATGTGTGTATATATATGTATATATCCAAATCATACCTAATTGTAAATCCAAAACCATCAAACAAAACACTGCTTGAATTATTACTACTATAGCAGTTACTGGGGTTCAAAAGTAAAACCAAGTTTTAGAAGGCATTTTCATCCAACCTGAAAACAAGTATACACAGTCTACCATACCACATAATAAATAAAATCCTTCAGTTTCAAAGGGTAATGGACCCTTCCTATATCCTGAAGAATCCAGGAAACAAAAATATAGAGCACCCATCAACATTTCTTCATTTTTAATGGCAACTTAAAAAGATACAATAGCTTCAGATTACACAAGCCAATTTTTTATGAATTTTTAAGGCATTAAAATATGTTTAAAGTTCAAATTTTGTCAAAATAAAAATGTATTTATTATGCTTACAACAAAATCTTTCTCCTAACATCTTAACAAACAAAAGTTACCAGTGTAAAACAACTTCATTCAGAGCAAACTAATTATATTTCAATTAAATGGAAGAAGTGTTAATGAAATACCATAATTCATCCCCCTTACTGAGAAATGTTCACCACAGTAACTTGCAGATGTTATCAAGACAAATGAGTATTGTTGTACATGTCCGAAGTGCCCCACAATGTAATGTTCCCCACAAAAAGTTTTAAAAGTCTGAGATGGTTGTACCACATGTAATGATATCATAGAGCTATTTCCTTCAGATCATCAGGCATCTCATTCTTTGGGTGTTTATTCTCAAAATGTTGCTTGTATGTTTTTGGATCTGGCATTTGGGCCTGGAAAAAGAAATGGACAAAGCATTATACACACAGCATGACTACCATACAATTATTGTACTATCTTACATGGGATCTGTGGTTTGAAAAAGCATAGCAATATTATGTAAGAGACAAAATTGGATTCCTTCAAAAGTATAAACAGATGAAGTTGTTGAACAAATAGTCATTGTGGAGACTAGTCTAGTGAGGGAAGATATACAAAACAGGCCAAGTAAGAGTGGAACTTAACAGAGGATATATATATATGAAAGGAGAAGGCTTTGACATAGGATCCTGAAAGAAATGTCAATGTATGATAATGACAGATAGTGGTGTATTGTTTGGTGGACTTTCGCTCATCTTTTAGATCATTTCACTATTATTCCTCTTATAATAAAGATCAACAATATGGCATAACTTACATACAGTAGCTTTGATGACAGTGTGCGTTCCATGTCTGTCAGAATTAAAAGGTGAGGGGTTTTGGGGGTTTGTAGGGGTACCAAGTAGGGTAGCATACACTGTCCATATAATAAAAAATACATATTTCCCAGTAGCAGTACCTTGTAGCTTACTGTCTCATTTCCTACAGTGGTAGTATCTTTGGTTTACATAGTATATGTGTTTGTTTTCCTTCTACCCATACGCTGGTGACATGGCGAAACGTAGTTTAGTCCTGGAAACTGTAATTAATATAGCACCATAAAACAGTTTCTTTAACTGTTGAACTGAAATATGAACAAAGGTATGCTACAAATGTTTGAAATACTTAACATATTACAATTATTACTTGTTAAAATATTTATGTTACAATGGTCACGCAAAGTTAATGTGGACTGATTTTCATAACAGTCAGCAACTACGTGAAATGGTGTGCACATCAAATTGTTGGCTAAGAGAATGTGAAACCAACTAAATTCTAAAAATGTTAGGTTCACACTTAGGCTGGTACAGGCATTAAGTTGCCTAATTCATGAAGACAGGAAGAAAAGCACGAAGTATTTCTTATGTCCCTGACCTTTTACTGAATGACAGATTTAGTACCTACTTATGTGCATCACAATTAATCGAAATTCTTTCACTTGCCACAGGCGTATGAATGGAGTTTTCATGTCAGAAGTGAAGACATGACTTAAATATTTTCTGAGAGGTCTGCTTATTATGAAGATTGAGAGGAAACAGCATTCCATCACATAAAATAATACTGAACTGCTATGCAGGACAACGATTTCCTGCAAGTGAATTGTAAATTATTATTATTATTATTATTTAGTGTTCTGTCTGACGACAGGTCCATATGAACAGGATCCTTCCATCCTTTTCTCGGACTGGGACCTGTTCATATACGTTCTTGGCAGATGATCCAGAAGTGGTTTGCCATTGCCTTCTTCTGTGTGAATGGAGTAATTGTTGGGATGCCACAGAGGAAAACTCCGTGTTGCCTAGACCACGGCCTTGCCCAACACAAGTTATAAATTCGGGCACCGCCGGGAATCAAACCCGAGACCCCAGGATTGCAAGGCCAGCGTTCTAACCGCTAGACCACCGTGGCTTGAATTGTAAATACAAGATATTAAAGGTTAAAATGAAATCACATAAGAATACTTCATATTTCCTTATCTTGGTCCAATGCTGAAACCACCTGTGAGATACCCAGGTTACAAATATGGCAGTTATGCAAAGATACAATAGATTATTCAGGGATGGATTAACTGGGGTCTATATGGTTTAAATGAAAATTACAAAGTAATTTAGAAAATCTATTGTAAAAGTTAGAATGTTTAAAAAGAAAGGAATAAATAGAACAAAGACTTTTTAAAGTGCATTAATATGAATAAATTGGAATCCTTTTTTAAAACTTACATATTTGTTACATTTGCATTTTTTTATATATCTGGGATTTTAATTATCCAGGAAAATATATTTCCTAGCCAACTCAGATAACCAGGAGTCTACTGTACACTGAATTGTAAGCACCTTATACCCCATCTTGCACTGTAACTTTTATTCAGTTTTATACCTTTTCAATCAACATGATATAATTAACAATCGTTATTGGAGCCACCACACCAAACAGATTTAAGTACACAGAAATGAAAGTAGATTCATATTACATGGACAGATCACAAATCTATTTCAATAATGTGGCTAATTCTTCCAAGACATGGACAGTAGGCATTATTTATGAATTCTTGTAAAATTCAATATTTATAAGCACAAAATTAATAACATAGCTGGTAACTAACAGCATGTGAAAAATACTATAAATAAAAGATATAAAAAATATCAAGCATGAAATGATCACTTTTTATATGACTTGAAGACTTGTGCAATTACATTACACAACAAAAATTATTAAATATTCAGTTACTAACACTCAGTATAAGTTAATATTTAAAGGAAATTAAACAATTTTAAGCAGCTGAATTTGAATCAAATTTATGGAAACATATATGAAAAGAGGCAAGGATATTTTGGGTTTCAGAACTAGACAAACATTTGACATTATGCACACATAGCAAGACAAATACATCATGGACAATTTCCTGACTGCTGTATCGGACAATGTAGACGTGTGGGGTGGCCACCACATTTACCAGACTTAACTCTGTTGTTATTTTTTCTTTGGGGAACAATAAAGGATAAAGTTTATCAAGAACCACCAACCACAGCAGAAGAAATGCAACAATGCATTACTGCAGTATGTGCTGTTGTATCACTTCAAAAATTATTGTCTGTGAATTGTTTCTTAATTCAATGCTTTTGTAAGTGTGTTGATGCCAATGGTCACCATTTTGTACAGTTATTAGTAACTTTTACACGAACATTACAATATTCAGTGTAAATGCATACTGATGCATTTGTTTCTCATACTCTGGGCGGTGTAATCTCTGTAACGTTTAACAAAAAACGAGTGTGATGTGTGAACTAATCTCAAATCTGGCTATAATTCAAGTTTAAAAATAAACAAGTTCCATTAAAAAAGGTTACATTGATAAATTAATAATAATTCCATAATTCATATTTTACTGCTTAATGTTTACCCCATTGGATACTGTGTATTGCATACATTTTATTTGAAACATTTTTTGTATATATAGGTAAGACACTATACAGGGGTACCCCGGGTTTCGACCATCCCATAATATGACCAACCTGCAGATATGACCCTAATACCGTACCCTATGAATACGCCTGACTGGCCCCGACATTATATAACCAATGTTTTATTTGGTCTGCGTGACGAATGAACCAAACAACTGCTGCAACGGACAATGAAGCTGGTACAACCCTTAAATAATTCTGAAAGGGCTACAACATATGGAATTTAGTCTATAACATCGGAGATAATGGAGGAAACTTGGCCCACAATTTGTAACAGACATTCAAGACGCTGAACAAATCACAAACGCAGTTACTGACCTTGAGTGGCAACTTAATTCAGAAATGGACGCAAAAGAAGTTGAATTAATTGGATCTCATTCTGAGGAATCATTGTCCAACGAATATCCCAACCAACTTCAGCAATCCAATGTGCAACTGCAAGACGCCGAATCAGATGAAGACGTTATGGTTTCTGAGCCACCAGCAAAGGTCATGAGAATGAAAAGTTGTGCTTCAGTTTTGTAGGAGAATGAGCTTATAAATATGACTGAGCAAGAAGACCATAATGCAGAAAAGAGTTCAAAGGTGCGCAGAGGTGCTGCATGAATGAAGGCTGCTGTACAACAAAAGTTAGAAACGTTTTTCTCTAATCTTGGGAAACCATCACTACAGTGGGATTTAAAAAAAAGCTTACACTTCTGCAACCTCTTACAAAGACAATTTGTATCTCTGGGTTCATATTTTATTATAAATTCGTTTATTTATTTTTCTGAGTGATTTGATTATTATATATCTAGGGTTCTTATTAATAAATTATTTGTAATAAATTTAAACATTGTTAAAATGTAATGATTATTTAGACATGTTTATCATTACATAGCATTTATAACAATCCCAAACTAATTTTCTATGAGCTCTGCAATGTATCTGAATTTATAACATACAAGTCTATGGGAAAACTTACTCCATGATACAACCATCCACAATGAACATAACCCTGTCGTATCATGGGGTATGCCTGTACTAGCAAAGAACAACTTCAGTGCAATAATGCCTGTACAAAATATAAAACATTATATGCTACTAAAAAGTCTCACATGCAATGCTTTTTGTTATGCCTTGGTAATCAGAAAAAATAAATTGTTCACAATTCGGGAAAAATATTCCATTATGTCATTAACAATCTAGCATCGTTCAGGTTTACCTATGTGAACACCTCCAACTCTGGTGGGAATGATCTATATTCCTAACATTCTTATCTTCTCTCTGCTATTTAGTACACAATAAAATACAATACATGCTTCACACACAGACTGCTTATTGACACATCTTTGGTGTGAAGTCTTGAAGTTCTGTGTAAAAAGAGGAAGTGATGAGACCTTCACTGCCGACTTTCATAATATGTTATTAGTATCCTTCAGCAGGTACTTGTGCAGTTTACAGTGTAAAATTGCTAAGGAACTTCTGGGGACCCTTACTTTTAACATACAGGGTGTCCATAAAGAACCTTTACAATTTCAAGACTTGATAAAAAATTAATGAGTCAAGATAACTGGATGGGGTTTGTTGCTTGTTAAACAGCGTCTCTCAAAGTTTTATGCACATAGGTCAGTAAACCTCTACATGTGAACCCTTAGTTGCACATAGCACATCAAGCCGATACTCGATTTCCCTCCACGTTCGCTGAAGAATCTCTGCATTAATGGTTGCAATGACTTCCACAATCCTTCACTTCATTTCGTCGATGTTGGGAACCTGTGTTCGGTACACAAGATCCTTAACATAACCCCAAAGAAAAAATCCAGCGGGGTTATGTCGGGCGAACGAGGTGGTCACGGTATTGGACCATCTCTCCCTATCCACCTATAAGGAAACTGTTCGTTAAGGTAGCCACGAACCGCCAACCCCCAGTGGCATGGTGCTCTATCCTGCTGGAAGATGACATGTTGTTGAATGTCCTCCAATTGTGGGACAGCAAATTCTGTCAGCATGTCCAGATACACATTGGCTGTGATTGTTTTTTTGGCGAAGAAGAATGGCCCAATTATTCGGTCACACGAGTCCGCACCACACGTTAAATTTCAGGCTATCGCGTACAAATTCTCTGGCTGCATGGGGGTTTTCAGATCCCCATATCCTTACGTTGTGCCTGTTCAGTAACCCCTACACATGGAACGTTGCCTCGTCACTAAAGAGAACACGCTCAAGGAAGCCTTCCTCGATGTCAATTCGAGCCAACATGTCGACAGCAAATGCTGTGCAGCGTGGCCCATCATCTGGCTCAAGAGCTTGCACCACCTAAACTATGTATGCGTACAGTCTCAGATTCTTGTGCAGCACTTTGTGGATGGTCGAACATGGCAACTCCAATTGTCTGGCGACAGTGCGAATGGGCTTTCCAGGGCTACGGACAAATGCACCGTGCACACGTTCAATGTCCGCTACGCTTGTGCTTGGTCGGCCACTGCCGTTTTGCTGCAGAACACTGCCAGTCTCCATAAATTTCCTCTGCCACTCACGAATTGTGGGTCTTGATGGCGGTTCCCTTCCATATTCCTTCTCCTGTGGAGTAGCCATTTCCTGTAATGTTAAATGTCAGTCGACGTGCACACCTTCAATTAACAAAAGTTATGTTATTAACACTAAACAAAATTCCCTTAAAAACTTTGAGAGATGTTTAACATGCAAAAAATATCATCCAGTTATCTTGTATCATTATTTTTTATTTAGTGTTGAAGTTGTAAAGGTTTTTTATGGACACAGTGTATATTACTGAAAAAATGTCACACAGGAACAACTTAAAATAAATTACAGGAAAATGTTTGTTTATTATACAGTATTCTGTAAGTGAATTGCAATTCTGAGAGATGAGGTTGAAATTAAAATTGTGAATGAGCAGCGCAGTATGACCATTCAGTCAAAAGCTAATGTTGCTTTGATGCTGGAAGAGGAAAAAAGTTTTAAGCTAATGTTGCTTTGATGCTGGAAGAAGAAAAAAGTTTTGTTATCAGACTCATGAAAGCTGTAAAATTATACAATAAATGCTGCTGTACTGGTATATTTGACCTTGACCATTCATTTGTCCATAGTGCCTTCATAGTATACGCCAATAATGTGGAACACGTCACAGTACGAATATGAAAACTCAATACAACAAAATACCAAAATAAAATTATAATTGCATACTTACTACAGCAATTACAGAAATATTTACAGTATTTAAAAAATTAAATTGAGAGTAGGACTGAGATAAAAGATAATCTTTCTATGCTGGCTTAAACACTTTTACACAATGATTTAAACTTTTAATGCTATCTGGAAAAGTACTGAATAATTTTATCTCTACATAACAAGCATCTTTCTGATAACTAGTAATGTTAGCACTTGGCTGATGGAGATCATGTTTATGCCTTCTTGTATTTATGAAGTGCATGTCAGACTTTTTTAGTCTGTAGGTTTTTACAGCTGTAGTTCAATGTATAACTTGGGCTTTTGGGTGAGGGCCATGACAAATATTTAGTGTCAACCAACGTTTCGGCAAACATTGCAATTGCCATTTTCAAGGTGGGTATGAGATGGGGTCAGTTTTGCAGGCCTTATATAGAGCAAGCAGTGAGTGATCAGATAACTTGATGCAGATTAGTGGAGTAGATTGCTATCCAATGGGACAGTAACATGTGGCTGAAGAAAGGAGGAATTTTGAGAGGAGATTATGAAGGTTCTTGTGACCATGTTGGATGGGAAAGGATTTACAGCAAAATTATGTGGAAGGGAGTGAGTGGCAGCTGTTCACTGATGAGGTTTGGAGACATGATGATGGACCAGCCCTTTTGAGGGCACACAGTAGGGTCAGTGGTTTGGAGGAAAACAAGTCAAAACAGGTTTTGCTTAGCCTGTAGCCATCTACATGGTTAAAGCTAAATGGATGTTTTGATATTCCAATTGCCACTCTGATAATGCAGGAAAAGTAGGTTCTGGCATTGGCTATGACTTCTGTTTTGTCAAAGTTAATGTCTTGCAGAATGTTTGGCTACAACTAATAGTTGGTTCTCCATTCTGTTGTCTCTTATATCTTCCATAATCCCTGATTTTTGAGTCAGGAGTTGTCTGTCTTTTTAAGAATTAGGTTTAGAAGCCAATTTCTTATTTAGTGTCTGCATTATGAATGTCATGCTAAGATCACATGCCAGATCTCCCCTCCCCCCCAGCTGTGATGCTGGCTTCTGGAAGCTCCTCAGCTGGTCTACAAATGTGAAGGAAGAGCATGATCTGTCAATGCCATACAACAAAAATCTCAGCGAGAATTAATCACTCTGGAAATGAGTCCCAGTACCATATCTTGCACATGTAAACTGCAAAAAAGGAGGGAGCAGGGTAGGTCTTACGTTAATTGTCAAGTGGAAGTGATGTTGGCGCAGACCTTACCATGAATACAATACAGCAGGAGGGAGGAAATTATAGGAGACAGGAAGAAATGTACTACAGTGTAGAAAAAAACATTTGTATTCAGAGAATCAAGACTGTTCTGTGATTCATCAAGATATTAATTCAGGAAATAATAAAATGTAATGGTGTGAAATAAACCCATCTTGTGTTTTCAAATAAAGAGCCCACTGTATAAATACTGGTTAAATTATAACTAGTGTCAAAAGAAGTAAGAATAGACCCAGGACTATATTTCATTATGGGCCCATCAAATAAGCTAAAGTCCAGCCAAGAGGTAATGTAAAACAATAAGTGCCAGCCAAGACCTCATGAAATACAGGGTATACACAAAAGAATGGTGCAACTGTGACTGGCGACTCATTTTTGGACATGTTTGAAAGCTGGTTGTTACCCCAACTGAATACCAATTATGACGATTACATTCTACAACTGGACGGAGCTCCCCCCATTTTCACAGGAATGTATGAGTGCTTCTCAATCGTGTTTTTCCACAGCGCTGGATTGGTATGAGTTTGATTACCGTGTGGATGTGTGTCGTGTAACCCAGGGTGCATACATTGAAGGATTGTAATTAACGCATGAGAAACTTGGACAGTTGACGCTGCTGATGGTGTATGTTGTGCCCGTGTAAGGTGAGAAATAAATTTTTTATTAACTTTTGAAACCGCACCATTCTTTTGTGTATACTCTGTATTATGTATGTGCTAACCAGGAGACAATGAAACATGACAATGAGGGGGAAACAAACACTGGCCAGGATAAATAGTAAACAGTATAAGTTCCAGTAAAGAGAAAACAAAGTGGCATCAGTGGCATTCAATATAAAATAAGCACCAACATCAGTGCCATTAGGTCTGGTCAAGAGGACTTTGAAGAGGAAATGATGGACAAGCTAGACAAGCCATGCAGATTATATTAATAAATGTAAGAACATCAAGAGGTAACACATTGTTTGTTGTTTGTTAAACATTCTGCAGGTATTAAAACTTGTTTCAAAACAAACAAACAGGACTAGGCATAAGCCTGTCTAAAAAGTAAAAAATAGAAGGGTTGTAAGATCCCATACACGGTTTAAATTCATTATGGTATAATTTGTGCATATATATACTGTACATTCAGTTCAAACAGATTAAGAAAGTATCACAAACCATATTAGGCAATTTTTATTAAACATATTATTTGTTTTTTATGTCATCATTCATGAATCCCCTACGCAATCGGGCAAGAAGTATAAACCTAGTGTGTTTGAATTTAGAACTGGCACATGAGTACTGAAAGCATGCTGAAAAAAAGAATTTAAATGACATAATAAACTAAGTCACTGACTGAACAGTGTCAGCTACCTTCATAGAGTAGATAGAGTGCAGAAGTTTGTTGTGAAGGCAAGGTATATCTTGGTAAGAACACCACACTTAATGAATTTGATGACATGTCACCAAGTCAGATTTGACTTGACATAAAATATTAGCAGCTGGGACCCTGAAATTAGAGAACCAGGACTAGATCTGATTTGATTTATGGGCTGTCAGCATACAATGCTAAAGCTGCTTTGCTTGTATGGAGTCTGTCCTACCTACCCTTGTCAACACAGACCAACAGGATGAGGTTACTGTTGAAGTGTGGCATCTTGCAGATCTTCATCTTGGTATCAAGTGGTCACTAACTGTTGTACTCCAGTTGTGCCTGCATTCAGTGAGAATTTAGGACATGTTTAGGGAATGTTTCCAGGTCTGATTATTCATTATGATAGGAAATATGGTGCTTGGATTAAGGAAATCAACATAAGGAGGATAATGACCCTAAATCTGAGAATAGTGAAGGGTACAGACAATACAGAGCAGGCTATGAAGACACGAATGGAATAAGTTTCAACTTAATTATACACTCAAACTGTAAAGTGAAGAGATGCTTAATCTTGTTCATCAAATCAATACTCATCCTGAAGGGGTTAGAGGAGGTAGGTGAAGCCTTCCCATACTACTGAAAAGCATGCTGAGCCAAATTATTTTTTTCCTCCTAAGGGTCCTATCAGTGGGGCACTATAGTGGCAGGATTCTTGGACAGTGGTGGCAATGCTACTGCAGTGTTCCAAGAGGTAACTACACAGAACACAACACTATTCCAATATTACAACAATATTTGTAGCAGCAGAAGGGTCCAACACCTAACACAGCAATGTGCTACATCATACATGATGGTTAGGGGTGGCTTTTGCACCCCCTTATTTGAAACAGTGCAAGTGGTGGATAGAGACAGGATATTTCCTGCAGTACCAGCTGGCATTACAGTACTTACCACTATTCCAACAGGGCAGATTTAACTAAGCCCATCATCATTTCACAGTCAACCACAAAAAGTAATGAAATTTAATGTTTCCAAGGTGTTGAAAATATGGATTATGATGCAGCATAATGCTGTAGCAATTACTAATGTTTTGAAGGAAAATGTCACAAACCACAATTCACACATGAAACCACAACTTCATTGTACCAATCTTCATTAACTGAAAATTAATTCACATCTCAACATTCCTTTTGCATTATATGGGCTTCATACTTTTTGTGATCCATGTCAATGTCAGCTAGGAATTACAAAGTAATCTACTTTTATAGCTACATCAACATTCAAATTTTGTATAAAAAGATAAACTCCTACATATTACAATCCTTTTCACTGCCTAAAAATGGAAGTTTCTCCAGGACCACTGGTCCACATTTGCTGAGGCGTAAGAAAAGACATATGTTAAATTACACTGTTGAACAAGAACAATGATTGCTGATGTTACTCTATATACAAACAGGCCTAAAATTTCAACACATTTTCATAGGATACTGAATATTATGAAATTATCACATTTCTGTTCATACAACAAAGTAATAAAATTTTTAATATCAATCCATTGGCCCATACCCTCTTTCTGATAGTTTGTCTCATAAAAACAAACCAAAAAGACTAAAAAAATTGTAAGATCTTCTTATTAATCACCTCAACAGTACACAATTTCCTCAATTGCATAATAAACATTACTACAGGTAGGCGTACTCTCTGGTAGTATCTCATACCTTACATACTGAACAGACATGGACAAGAGCTGCTTGTGCTGCCTTTTTCTGGAGATTGGCATTATGGCCCTGTTGCTTTTTCTGTTTTGCCAGTTTCTCTGCAGCTTTGGCTTGTGACTGAAGCTTCTGCTGTCCTCTGGCCATTTTCTACCTATATAATGGATATGAGTTTATCATATACAGCATTTGCATCCATGCCAAACATTCACTCACTCATGTAAGACTTGAGGTTCTCACAGCGGTGAGTATGAAGATTTCCGTCTTCTGGGTTGTTGCGCTGTGACCAGACTACACAGCGCAACAACCCAGAAGACGGAAATCTTCACTCACTCACTCTATGGCGCAGGATATTCTTTGAAAAGTCGACTGTTACTCAAAGAATAACCAATTTTCTTTATGGAACCATAAGTTTTATCACCATGTTCACAAAAGTCCACCACCTGACTGTGTTCTGAGCTAGCTGCATCCTGCTTACTCCATTGATTCCTATCTCCTGAAGGTCCACCTTAACATTATCCTCCTAACCAACAATCTCCTCCCTTCAGGCCTCCCAACCAGTACCCTGTAAACACCCCTCCCCTCACCCATGTATACCATGTCCTTCCCACCTCATCCTCCTCGATTTAATCACCCTAACAATATCAGGTCTGGAGTACAGGCTGTGAAGCTCCTCATTATCCATCTTCTTCCCTTTTAGGTCCAAATATCTTCCATACTCTGTTCTAAAAAATCCTCAGTCTATGTTCTTGCCTGAAAGTGAAAGACCAAGTTTCGCACCCATACAGCACAAATGACAAAATTACACTTCTGTATATTTTAACCTATTTTTTATACGAGACGGGAGGACAAAAGATTTTGGACTGAATGATAGCAAGCATAACCAAACAATATTAACATTATATAAATCAGTAATATATTTCATATAAAAATAAATGCATTTAACACGTTTATTATTGTAACTCCATTAGAAATATGCAAATATTCCTGTACGTTACATTAAAGACAGTTTAGCAGGCAGAACACAAACATCTTGATTTCGTTTGATGTCAATGCCCTGAATCCTACCAAATAAATATTGTATGTAGCCGTGCGTAAACAATGAACATTTTTAAACTTCAAGAATTAGAATTACACACCTTTCAGACTTCTTAACTCTATATTAACCTTAATTTTTCACTTCACTATGAGCACAACAACCATTATAACACTCCTTACCGTAGGTACTGCCAACTGCCAGGCACAGGCAATAACCGTCTCGGATATGACGTTTTCGGAAGTCACTTTCATTCAGTGGAAAAAATTTTAAGCCACCGTGGGACGTTCAGTATACATAATTTTTATACATATTCTCATAAAATTGCAGTACTCAGATTTCTTAAAAATAAAAACATATGCAATAGTTGGTAGCAAAGTATGTCGCATACTGTGGATTTGTCTATCATTTGACTTCAGCAATATTGGTTTAGATTTCAATTGTCGATTGTATTCTTTTTGTGTTTTGCGATACATAATTATTTCACATGCAATTTGATGGAACTTCATGTGAGTTATACTATCCTCAGGATCAAAAAATTCACCAAGTTTTAAATTCTACACGTTTCAAATAGTAGAATAGAATAGAATTTATTTACATTCCATACATCCTTCATAGGCCCAAGTCAAGGATGTACACCTTGTCATATCACACAAATACAATACTAGTTTTTAATACAAATATAAATTACATAGTTATGACAGTTATTTGCAGTCAATTACAGTATTACCGCAAAAAATAATTACACAAGAAAGCATACCCACAGTTGTTTGCATGTATTTGTAGTAGCTGAGAATTTTTGATTGAACCAAATTTTATGGAGGGAAAGGAGGTATACTTTTAGTGCAGGCTTAAACTTCTTTATATCGTGATTGAGACGCTTTATAGTGGGGAAGATTGTTGAATATCTTAATTCTGATGTATTTAACCCCTTTTTTATATTTACTGAGTTTAGAATTGGCATGTGAAGGTTATATCATATTCTGTACTTATGTTGTGGTTATCTGAGTTTGTTTGAATTTTTTCTATGTTTCCCACAACAAATGATAACAAGAGCAAGAATTCACTTCCTTGTAGAAGAATATTAAATTTCTTGAACAGTTCCCAATATTTGTCTCTCCATTTAGTAGTGCCTGTCATTATTGTAGTGATTTTATTTTGTGTGTAAATTACGTTTTTACTGTCTGTTTAGTTTTCCCAGAATTCCATATGGCATGATCAAATGGAGGTAATCAAAGTAGACTAATTTAGAAGTCTGTTTTTATGAGTGATGTGACAGTTCTCATAGCAAAGCATTTTAGGTATAATGTATTGAATTTTGTAACTAGAAGTTTTGGTGGACAAACCAGAAGGAAAGAGACCACTAGGAATACCTAGATGTATGTGGGAGGATAATATTAAAATGGATTTTTGAGAAATAGGATGGGGTGGTATGAACTGGATTCATCTAGCTCAGATTAGGGACCAGTCGCAAACTGTTGTGAACATGGTAATGAACCTTTGGGTTCTGTAAAATGTTAGGAATTTCTTGAGTGGGTGAGCGACTGTTGGCTTCTCAGAAAGAATTTATCTCCATGGAGCAATTAAGTAAGTAAGAAGTTCTGCATCATGATCAGATTCCTGGAACTGTCTGCAAAAATATTGTCAAAGGCAGTACTGGAATAATTTTGAATTCTTGTGGGGAAATGAACTATTGACATCAAACAAAACTATGGCTCAGTTACATCTACATCACTAATAGTGATGATGTCACATTTCCAATGGAAGCACAAATTACAATTATCACATAATATGCCTTCATTGACTTTTCTCGGCAAGAGCCTCATTTGCCTGATAATTTGTTAGACATGTCCTTATCGCCATGACAAGACTTATTGAAACTGCAAAAGAAGAGGTACCGCATGAAGAGTGTTTAAAAACAAAATAACAACAAAACCATCCTTTTTGTTAAAGAAATATAAACACTGGCGCACAGTGTGTACATGCATATGCTATGCACAATGGAGCTTCTGAGATTTCTAATTATAAATCATGTCTACCTTTGTTAGGATATGAAATATTGCAGTGCTGGGTTTGATACTTATGACATAATAGTGGATGAGCAATTAAATATTAATCTTGTGTAACCAAGTTAGATTTGGTGTCAGTGGAGGAGGTGCAATGGGAGGAGATGTGCAAAATTTCACGTTTTTCTATGGATAGGACAATGACGATCAGTAGTTAGGGAGAGGGGTTTTTGTTTTATAGCAGAATTTCGTAGTGACAGATTGTCTTACATAATTGTAGAAGGACGTTGATGCAACATTATTGTCCTTAATGTTCATGCCCCAACTGAGAACAAAAGCCATAATATGAAGGATAGCTTTTATGAAGAATTAGAATCAGTATTTGATACATTTGGCAAGTATCACATGAAAATTCTGTTGGGAGATTTCAATGCAAAAATTGGGAGGGAGGATATCTTCAAACCCACAATAGGCAGCAAGAGTCTGCATGCACTTAGTAATGATAATGGTAGAACAATAAACTTCCCTACATCAAAAGATTTAATTGTAAACAGTACAAAATTTCCACATCATATTCATAAATACACTCGGAATTCTCCAGGTGGTAGCATACACAATCAAGTAGATCATGTTTTAGTAGATAATAGAAGGCAGACAAATATAATTGATGTGAGGTCATTCAGAGGAGCAGATTGTGACACTGATCATTAGCTGGTGGTAGCAAAAGAGAGGGAGCGGCTTGCAGTAAGTAGACGAACTAAGCAAAATTTTGACACAGAAAGATTTGATTGGAAAAAATTAAGTGAGGGAGAGGCAAAGGAACAATGTCAAGTTGAAATTTCGAATAGGTTTCAAATTTTAGAGACAAATGAAGATAATGAAAGTGTGGACATCGTCAGGGATTGGGAGAATGTCAGAAACTGCATCAAAATTTCAGCGAAAGAGAAACTAGGATACTACAGGCAAAAGCAAAATAAACCGTGGTTTGATGAAGAATGTTCAAAATTAATAGATCAAAGGAATCAAACAAAATTTTAATAGTTGCAGGACCCAAACAAAACAAATGTGGATAATCTATGTAACATGAGACGTGAAGCTAGTAGAACCTTTAGGAATAAAAAAAGGGAATAATTGAAGGGCAAAATTACTGAACTTCAGACAAATAATAAGGAAAAAATATCATACACCTGTACAGAAGCATTAATAACTTTAAGAAAGGATATCAACCTCAGACTAATTTGGTAAAGGATGATAATGGGAATTTGCTTGCAGATCCAATAAAAATTGTGAATAGGTGGAAAAATATTATTAGCCAGCTCTTAAATGTTCATGAAACTGGTGATATTAGACAGATTAAAATACATACAGCTGAACTGTTGGTGCCAGAACCTAGCTTAGATAAAGTGGAACTAGCCATTGGGAAGTTGAAAAGTTATAAATCTTCAGGTATTGATCAGATTCCAGCAGAATTAATTAAAGTGGGTGGCAAAAGGTTGCATATGAGGATCCATAAGCTTATTCAGTTAATTTGGGATAAGGAAGAGATGCCACAAGATTAACCCCATATGCGAATGAAGTTATTGGGGATCATCAGTGTGGGTTCAGACGAAACAGATCAACGATTGATCAGATCTTTTGCAGTGGGACTTTACATCAATTGTTTATAGATTTAAAAAAGCAAGAAATGTTATACAATATTCTCATTGAATTTGGTATACCAAAGAAGCTAGTGAGTCTAATAAAAATGTGCTTAAATGAAATCTTTAGCAAAATTTGAGTAGGTAAATGTGTATCTGAGTCATTCTTCTTCAAGAACGGTCTAAAACAAGGAGATGCTTTGTCTCCCTTGCTCTTTAACTTTGCACTAGAATATGCCATCAGGAATGTTCAAGATAGGCAGGGGGGTTTGCAATTGAATGGGACACATCAGCTATTGCATATGCTGATGTATTAATTTATTGGGGGACGGTATAAATACAATAAAGAGGAATGCAGAAGTTTTACTAGAGGCTAGTAGACAGGTGGGGCTAGAAGTAAATTCAGAAATAAAACTGAGTACGTCATCAGCAGACATTCGGGCAGAATTATCTTAGGGTGGCTAATAAGTCCTTTGAAATGGTTACAAAGTTCAAATATTTGGGAACAACAATAACAAATCAAAATGATACTCATGAGGAAGTTAGGAGGAGACTAAATTCTGGAAATTCTTGCTACTTCTCAGTTCAAAATATTTTGTTTTCCCAAGTGATTTCTAAGAACCTGAAAATTAATGTATACAAAACAATAATCTTACTTGTTGTTTTGTATGGTTGCGAAACATGGTCACTCACTCAGAGGGAGGAACACAGATTGCAGGTGTTTGAGAACAGGGTGTTGAGGAGGATATTTGGGGCTAGGAGAGAAGACGATGGGACATGAAGGAAACTGCATAATGATGAGCTTAAAAATCTGTACTCCTCCCTCAGTATTGTCAGGGTGATTAAGTCGAGAAGAATGAGATGGGCTGGGCATGTAGCGCGCATGGTTGGGACAAGAGGTGTTCACCGGGTATTGGTTGGGAAGCCTGAGGAGAAGAGACCGCTGGGGAGACCTAGATGTAGATGGGAGGATAATGTCAGGTGGGATCTATGGGAGATGGAAGTTGAAGGAGACTGGATTTTGTTGGCCAGGGACAGGGTCTGGTAAGCCATCTAGTTAGTTAGTAATCTTAATGACATGACATGTGATTGTAAAAAAAATTACATTGACCTAAATTAATAAATCTAAAGAATTTAGAAGAAACATGTTGCTTGAATTTATTTGTTTATTTAATGATGCTTTTTCAGTAGCTCAAGCTGTATAGCATCGAATGCTGCTTGAAGTTGCCTCATTCATACAAGTGAAGTGACTTCACAGTAAACTGCTTCACAACATCCAATGCCACTGCAGTTCCAACTTGATATCTGCAGATGTTTAAACAAAAACTACATGCACACAGTATTTTTCTTTTGAGAATAAAAGTACTTCATTTTGAGAAATTCAAGGTCAAAGATCAGATTTGAAGACTTTAAAACATAACTGTGCTGACTATATTGTGTAATAGGTCATTAAAAAGGGTGTTTTATTAGGTTTGAAACGAACATAAAATGAGCTTTATATCTCAATTATGGCAGAAGTTATGGATCTTTTTTTCAGTAACTTGTGCCCATATTTTTTGATGCTTTGGATGTCTGCTTTCAAAATCTAGTAGCCATAAAGGAATTAAATTTTGCAGGAATACTTACCTCAATTGGACTTAGAATCTCACAAATAATTTTGTATCAGTATTTGTGATAAGATGTCCACTTTTGAACAGGATGCTACCATTATCTTTGTTTCACTTTATGTAGGAGTACCTTCTTATGTTTAATTCATTTTGCTGATTTCTGTGTTTGGGAGGATGTTATTGCTGGTTGGTCATGAAGTGGATTACTTTCCTTTGATGTTTTTTTTTTGTGGGGGGGGGATTTGTGTGTAACCTTCTCCATATCTGCTTTGAGAAATATTTAATTTTATTAACTATTTTGTCTGAAATGAACTTAATTTACACTAGATCAGTTCAATCAAGAAGTGCTGACCAACAAATTCAAATTTCTGACTTTGTCTGTACCTTCAGAAGGTGGTCAGGTCAAAGAGGGAGATGGAACCATATTCCATAAAAATAGTTGGTACTATCTGTAGGAAGTGTAAGAAGGAGCCTGTCAAAGGTGTTCTCATTTTAGGAGGCTGGCATAATATGTTGCATAAAGTAGCCGAAATATAAAACCAGCCACTCACCACCATCAAGTACCAAGGTTAATGTCCACTCTCACATATGTATTAATACTGTGGTCCTTAATTAAACCCAAGAACAACTTTACATTATTTATAGTTATCATGCTTGATCATCTTCATCTCTCACTTGATACTGTATAACCCTGTTATTACTGTTCCTATCTCTCTTGATGCCATAACAATATCTGCAGTTGAATCAGTGTAATTGAATAACTTATGACTCAATCAGTCTTCACCATCAAGGAATGTGAATAAGTATCTTGGATTTAAGTACAATGAGTATTCTCAATGCTACATACCATACATCACTGGAGGTAAACAAATGACAGTTATCCAAAATTTTGTGAATCCTTTGAAAGTTGAGATGATCACACATAAATGCCTTGAGGATGAATTCTTGCAAATTTTTTCCCCTGATAATAATGCTGCGTTATGTTATTGTTTTCTTTCCAGAGCACTGATGAATGCCATAAAGAAGTTAAACCTGTCGTGGTGTGAAAGTAAATGGTTGTTCAGAAAGCATAGTTTCAACAAAGCCACAAACAAGCAATGGGCATGCCTTCAAAACTCTGTACGGCTTTATGTAAGAAGAAAATATCCCATAAACCCAGAGGAAGCAGAGAAATTACCCGGTAATATTTGTGTGTTCAGAACAATCTAAGTAATATTTGAGAATCGTGGTTGTAATCTTTTTGCTTATATTACTTGATAAGCAGCAGTAGCACAACTTTCTCTAGCTCTTGATCCACAGAATTTACTGAAAAGGGGTCTCTGTAGATTTTCACTCTTTAATTTTGCTCCAGGTCTGCATTATGGCAGTTCACTTTTCTCTGACTCCCTAGCCAAAATATTGGCTGTGAACGCTCAAATGTTTCTTTGTAATTTGCAGTTTTATTTTCCACTTTCTTTACGTGTTATTTTGTAAATCTTTTAAAAGGAACCTACATCAGCTTCCCATGATGACTCAGTTGTTAGCCTGCTTGCCTATAGTGCTGGTGACCTGAGTTTGGTTTCCAAGTACTGGTAAAACCTCAATTTATGCGGCGTAAATTGAAACTCTTTTTATAATGTAAATCAATGGGAAGTCAATGACATGCATTCCCGGCACCCAAATATTGACGACTTAAGTTCTTCAAAAATTGACTTTGCCTTATCCATGATAGCAGTTTCAGTCAAGGGAATGTTTTTTTGATTCATGTCAGCCACCCACAGCAACAGTAATTTCTCCATTCTTTCTAAAAGTTTACTTCTGCTATAACTCACTTGCGTTGCACTTACTCTCGTAGCCTGTTGCATTGACTGTTTTATTTTATAGGAATATTTCATTATGGTAGACACAGTGGAAGGAGGCAACTTCATACTTTTGCACACATTACTACAGGTATCACCACCTTCTATTCTACGAATTAGGTCTATCATATCTTTTAACGCAATAGACCTACGCAACTTTTTAACAACACATTCACTTCTCTTACCAGACATGGTGGCTTTTCTACAATTTATAAATATAAAACAGTTGCTACTGCAGAATAGTGGTCGAACAACAACAACACAAACACGTTTAGCACACAGTTTTCAGCACATTCAATGTGTCAACAAGAAGCGAACTGAGCGCATTTTTCCTTACTCCCTTATGAGGCTGAACGCAATTGACTCACCGTGAAGAGTGACCAATGCTCACTTGACTGTTGCGCAATGTTGGCACATTTTTAGAGATTATCTCGCAACTACTTAGCAATAAGTGCAGAGGTGACTGTATTTATAATTTTTATTCAGAATCAGCGATGTAAGAATTATGATTTAGTATAAGAATCAATACAAGAAACACTGTAAAACGTTATAAATAATAGTAAAATATATTTTTTTCACTTTTTGACTTGCTGGTTTCAAAAGCGGCGTTATTCTGAACCGGCGCAAATTGAGGTTTACATGTATGTTCTTTCTATTTCACCGTATCTGTAATGGCTTTGGAGGCTGTAAAATGGCATATATTTCATTGAAGTCTTTGCATTTGTTATCTTTCTTCCTGTATTCACATTCAAGAATGAGAGATGCTCAGTTTACTGCCATTTTAGAGGTGCTTACTGCCTTCATTACCAAGTCTACTTATTGTCCTCATGATGGAGGCAGCAGGTTCTTCTGAAACATCAATGAACTTCTACCAGACTACATGAGCAACACCCTAGATAACAGCTATCTTCATACACAATGGCATGATTTCCTGAAATCTCAGCTAGAAAATTATTAAAAGGATTTTTATAAAATTTGAAATTGGGGATTTTTATGAAAAATTGTTAAGCTGTCAGTTTTGTTTAAAATTGAACATCAATAATTGACTTCATGATGACCTATGTGTGTTTTTGTTTGGCTGTGGAAGTCATGGTGGGAAATCCCTACCCAAGGAATTATAGTTTGGAGAATTCCAGTTGGGAATTTTGCTGAACATTCACAGAGACCAAATGTTGTTGAACTCCTGCATAGGGAATCACAAGGTAGTGAATTATCTGTGCATTTACAGAGGTATTATTCTAGTATACTCACCAAAATTGTTATGGTGTGGGCACATTTCTTAACTTGTTTTAAAACCAGCTGCTCACAAATGGCATGTTCAGATAATTTGAGTGTGATAGCTGCAATCATAAACAAAGCTGGGATTAGATTTTGTGCAAATAGTTTCAGTTTTTTACTCAAAGTTCATGGAATATGTTTTGTGAAATAAATGTACAAATTTGCAAAACACAGATTGTCCCACTGTTAGGTTTTCCAGAGATGTCTTTCATAGAAGGTAAACTTCTACCAGACTTCACAGTGTACATCCCAGACAACAGCCATCTTCATACACCGTGAGAACCTAAAATCCTAAATGTCCATTGACTAATCATGTTACATCGTCGAGTACCAATGCTAGTTTAGAATTCTAATTATTGCTAGCATGTATAATTATATGTAAAATGAAAGAACAGTGTATTTACATGGTATTAAAATTTAAGATCATAATTCCCCAGACTGTTCATTCACATATGGTAATGTACAGTAGAGCATATGAAATAATTTAAATTAATTTTAATTTTCGAGTATCTTGGATTTCTAACACCTCTACCTCCCAATTTTTGAGAGATGCAGCAATTGACTCCAAAATGTGTCCTCATGTCCACCAGTTAGCTGGTCACATGAGTAAATGAGTTAGAAGGGAAAGGTGGGAAAAGTAGTAGCTATTTAGTTACTGTAAAGAAATAAAGATTGATGAAAAAGGCATTAGTTGTAAAATTATATATTTTTCCTGGCTCTGGTGTGATACATATGGTATATAGTTAACTAGAATTTTAGAAACATTCTAATGGTGGAGCAGTTACACTGAAATATACTTCATGTCTGGTGTTAAATTTTAACTGGTAGTGTTTCAATGACACAGTTCAGACAATAATGCAGTTATATTATTTTTTAACATAGTCTTCCAGTATGCAAGCAGCACCCAACCAAAGTGGCGGGTCTATGTTTGGGGCGTGGCAGAACATGGAGCTCTTGGCGTTAACCTTCAGTTGAAGAAAAGCAGAGAGCCAATTAGCTATCTTCAAAAGCCTGTCAGAACACATTTTGCAGAACAACATAAGGTAATGATCTCATGTCATGAGTATTCTGTTAGCAGAGGGGTATTAGTAAAGTTTGTGTTTAGGAGGTACTTGGTTTGAGCCACAGCCAGGTTACCAGAATATATTATATATTTACTCCTCATTCTGTCCAGGTAAATGCCCTGGAATAGGCCTTATCACTTCACTCCAAATCCTTACTTACTCACCATTTATGCCCTTCATCACATCTCACCACTGCAGTTCAAACAGCATCATTAAATAATCTAAAAATCAGTCATCAGATGGTATAAAATTAAATTGCTGAATACTCATGAAGCATTGAATAAATAAATAAAGTTTTGCTTATAGCATTATACCATGCCATCAAGATTTCAGCTCTAAATGAAGGTAAGTTATTAGCATCAAGTCCCAGATGCTGTACACATTGGATAAGACTAGGTGAATCTCAGTGTCACTCTGAACATACAAGGAAAAAACTACTTGTCAGTGGGAATTGGACCCTGGTCACCCAGTTACATTGTTGACAGATTTATCCCGGTGGAGGGCTTTGGTTAATTCGGTGATGAACCTTCGGATTTGGTAAGCCATCTATTTAGTTAGTTGGTGTGGGTACCATAACCAAGAATGCAGAAACTCTCCTATAGGATAGCAAGGAAATAGGTGTAGAAATAAATGTAGACAAAACTAAATACATGGGCATAATAAAGGATCAACGTCAGCAACAGTGGTGGAACATAATTATAAATAACACTTTATATGAAAATGTTTCAAAATTTAAGTATCTGGGAACAATAATAACAAATTGAACTAATGTCCATGATGAAATTAAGAGTAGAATCAATTCAGGAAATGCTTGTTTTTATTTACTTCAAAAACTCTTTATCATTTCACTTGCTATTCAAAACACTATAGATCAGGATATATAAAATAATAATTTTGTCTGTTGTCTTTGACTGTGAAATGTGGTCTCTTACCTTGAAGGAAGAACGTAAATTACAAGTGTTTTGAAAACAAGGTGCTCATGAAGATGTTTGGACCTAGGAAAGATGAGATAAGTGGGGAAATTAGAATATTGCATAATGAGGAGCTGCATGAATTGTACAGGTCACCTAGTATAGTGAGGATAGTGAAATATAGGAGGCTCTGATGGGCTGGCCATGTAGCACGCATGGTGGGGGCCGGTGGAAAGGGTTGCATACAAAATTTTGGTACAGAATCCTTCTGGAAAATGACCACTTGGCAAACCAAGAAGGAGATAGGAGGATAACATCAAGATCGATCTTAGGGAAGTGGGCTGTGAGAATGGCAAATGGATGGCGTTGACTCAGGATTGTGGCTGGTGGCAGGCTTTGGTGTTGTCAGTGTTAGACCTGCAGGTTCTGCTACCAGAGAGTTGGTTATGTAAGGTATGAAGCATTCACAGTGACTAAATGAAGTGAAATTTTCTCATGTGATCAGCCATGAGTATCAGACTGTCTTTACTTTCAGTATCAGGGTTAATGTGATGAGTGACACAACTACCTGCTCTTTGAGCCTGGTTTCTTTGTATGAGAGCACACTAGTAAGGAACAGTGGGCAAAGTCAGGCTGTCAGTCATCACATAGTCCATGTTGCTTAACCTAGACTATCTGGCAAGCTGTGTCATTGATCAGTGTCAGCTTTGGTTGGATTTATGGCTCCTTATGTTAGATGGCAGCCAGTGAGTAATGTCTGCGATATTGCTGGCTTATGCTTCACATTTATATATATGTGAGGGGAATGCAGTCAGAAATCTATGTAAATCTTGCAGAACATTTAGGGTATGTGTATAATATACATAGTACAACTCCATGTATATAATATGGCTTATAAGCTTATAAACATAATGTTCTCTTTTGTTTTAATCAAAGGGAACAACATTATCCCTATGAACACTTAATTTATGAATGCTACATGCTTTGGCTGTTAGGTTTTAACACTGAGAAATTAAATCCCTTTTATTCACCTTCTGACGCATACTTTTCCAAGAAACTGCATACTGTAAAAACTGTTTTCCAAGCCTGACTGCACTGTATTTCATAACTGTGGCCACCATTACCATCAATACCACTTGTACTGCGTCTATTTTAGGACATGTCCATGTACTAACATGGTGTGAAGCTGTAAAAATTATGCAGTGCAGCATTGCAGTGTAGATTCAGATGCTCAAGTGGGACCACCATTCTGAACCCACTTGTTTGTTTATATTATTTCTGGAAAGTTATATTGTGTGGTTCTTCCATTAAAGTAATTTAATTTTTTATGTTAAATGTGAAAAGTAGTTTTGTGGTTTGATTATGTTAACTATCAGTTCTGCTTCTTTGTATACTGGAGTGTTGCACCAGTTTACTGTTGGATGCATGGAGAAATGTTACTTATTTAATTTTATTAATCCACAGATAGTTGGAATCTTTTAATTACATTTAAATATTTCCATTTCATATCTTTGTGTGAATGGACCTACTGTATTATTATTTAGACACTTAGGAAGTGTGTGCAAACAGTGATGAGTGCACAACATAAAGTATCTGTAAAAGTTTTCTTTGAACTAATGCAAATTCATGTTCACAAGTCCTTTGCAACAAAAGAATACCAAACTGTAAACTAAAATTTTCTACCATGCCACTCCTAACATGCATGCAGAACTTCATTGTACTGATTGTGGACTGATCACTGAAAATGTAAGTCGGTTATGTAGACTACAGAAGACAGTAACTCTCATGCCAGTGAGATATAGTGCTCGGAACCTCTTCTATGCAACTCTGTGCATTGTTTGAACAAAAGATTGGTAAAAGTTGTATTTCAAATTTTATTTTAGGATCATGTTGTGGATCCCAGTTAGATTCTTTATTGTAATCTACACACAACAAACCTTACATTTGTTTGGTTATTTGTTTCATGTCTAATTTATTATATAAATGGATAATGTGTGGCACACAAAACACCACAGAACACAAAAACGTTATACTATAAACATGGTCCTTGAACAAATGTCTTCCTGAAGAAACAGCATGCAGATTCAATACTTTTTTATCCAGCATCAATACCACCAATAACAGGGCTATAAACATGGAGTTTGCTGCAACACATTTAGAAATCTTTGGCTTCTTATCGAATGTAATATTTTGTCTGACTCATGGAAACTTTGAGTGCAAATGACATTTACATTATACCTCTCACAGTTAACAGTTTGAATTTTGTAACTAGGCAATGCAGCAGCACTGTGATTGGTTTCTCCACTTGAAGTGACCACACCTGATATGTCAGAAGCTTTGAATCTTGTAATAGCATTGCCATAAATGATTAATTTTATGTCAATATTTCAATGTAGCTGATCAGTATAATGTTCTCTGCCCCTCAGATAGTTGATATTGCCTGTGGATATGGGTTTACAGCACTTGCTGCTGATACCAGAGAGAATGCTAAAGTTTTTGGATTTGGCATCAATACAGATTCTCAAATAGGTGAGTTCAGTAGATAAAAGGCTTATTTATCCTAAGACAGAACACTGTTTAAATGTCCTGTAATGATCTGTGAGTGAGTTACATGGATTATGAAAGTATTGGCTGATCTCTGGATCTAGCCAGAAACATGCTTGAAATAATGTCCCCGTGCTGGTATGATATTAAGTATTTAAGAAAAAGAAATGTCATAACCAGGAGTATTTTTTTGATAAATATGAAATTGTCTTCACCATATGTGGTCCTCCAGTTATTACCAGACAGAAAGGTTGGAAGGAGATGGAGAAATGCATTTTATATTATAGACTTCACATTAATGTGAATCATGTCACATCTCACTTCATGCTACACAAAATATTTCATTCATACATTTTTGTTAACTAACGACCCATCCTCCTATTCGTTATATACTAGGAATTATTTCTCTGGGAGTAAAGCAGCTGGAGCATGAAGCCAACCATTTACATCTACCTAGAACAAAGGTTGAGATTGCGTGGAGCTGTATTGCCTTGCCTGCATATTTTTCATGGTCATGTCATGTTATTGTGTCATATTTTAGCATGGATAGTTTTGCCTCTTACCAGCTCAATAGTAAGAGAAAATAGTGCACTGATAATCGAAGAAATTACAAAGCCTTATTCCCTTCAAGTACTTCATTATATAAATTGAGAACAGGAGAAATTATAAATTATACAATTTATTGATAAATTCTTGTGCATATGTTCTACATTCAGTTTTTCAGATAAATCCTCAAATTTTCACACTGATGCCGTATCTGTAATTAAATAATATTATATAAAATATGGAAGCCTCTCATTCATGACCTGAAAGAATGTAAAGTCTCTCACCAAGGAATCACCACCATCCTATGATCGTAGAAAGGGCTGACTTCTTCTCTCCTACCCTCCCCTTCTATCACCCCCACCTTCTCTGACACCTGCTTGGCTCAGTCCTTCCCTCTTGATTGGCCTATTCCTCCAGACATTCCTTCCTTCCACCCTATAGAATCCCTCTTCATTCCCAACATCATCACTCCAAGGGCTGACTGAGGTCACTCATGGGCAACTGAGATGGCTGATGCTCAACAGGCCAGCTAAGGCTGTCCCTGAAAAGATGATTAAATCAGTGCAGTGAGTTTTCTAACTGCTTGGCTACCCTGATGGAGGTCTGCCATGTTTTTCCTCAGTTGTAATGCAAATGCCAGGCTGTAATTCAAAAGGGGCATGGCCTACCCTCCTAAGTCACAGAGGCCATCAGCCAAAGTAATCCCAATATTTGTGGTTTCAAATCCCGGAGAGCCATATAACCAAAATCCTTCTTACAAAGGACAAGTTGCCTGATTGGATAATCACCCATTGGTAGCAATAGCCACTAGTTTTAATAGGCAAGGTTTTCTGCCACAACAAACATCCTGTTAGCATAAGCATATTCTCATTGTAGGTTTAAGGCACTGTTTACCATTTCTGACAATGCAATTTGTATGCAGGAATGGTGTAACCTACCAAGGGATGATATCTTGTGCTTTTGCTTGTGCATGACTTTGCCCTTAGAGTTTTTTGTTTGTTGGTGGCATGATCACTTACACAGTAAAATGGCTGTATATTTCCAGTGTAATATATATATAAATGGGACAAACACAGATAATAAATGACAAGACCTGCAAAAATGACATACTGTAACAGTCAGACCCAAGACTTCAAATCTGGTTATGATTTTCAATAGAGGCTTGACACCAAGACACTGGGTAGAAATTAACAATTACAAAGGTGGAACGACTTCAAGTGGCATGATCATAATTGAGGTTCATGAAAATCTCTTTATTGATTCACATATTAAAGGGAAACAGTTTATGCCATGAGCATATCTGTCCTTATAAAGTAAAATACCAACAGGCTAAATAGTATTTTTCATCACAAAAGAAAGCTATCTTAACAAAGATATTTTATGTACAAATTAACAGGTTATCATGCACCACGAAAAAATCATCCACTACAGCTTATACTGACACCAGCTCCAATTGAACTACCCCTGGCAGACATACCTAACACAAGAGTAATAAATGTAGCTGCAGGACGAGCTCACCTTCTTGTGCTTACTGACAAAGAAGGTGTTTTCACATTAGGCAACAATGCATATGGCCAGTGTGGCAGGCAGATTGTGGAGGAAGAAAAGTATTCTGGAAGCCCCATTATTTATAACATCCCACACTTAAATGGAACCAAAATCAAGAGCATTGAATGCGGTCAGGACCACAGGTAATACATTTTGATGTTCTGATCATTTCGTATTTTTATTTGAAACAAGACAAGTAGAATGAAAGTTGTCACATATAAGTGAGTAATTCACACCATGTGATTCATGCATCCTTATCCTTAATTATGAAATTAAAATAATCCCATGCCCATTGCCTAAAGGAAGCAGACATTGTATTTGGTATAGTTCTGCATGATTTGTTCTGCCATTGATATCAGTCATTGTGGCTTTGTAACCATATGAATGTGATGACCTAGTGCTGCCCACAAAATACAGATGAAGGTGGTACTGAGTTAACATATACATGGAAAGAACCTGTATTTTGTTACCTGTTAACCTTGTGTAGGGCCTACGAGTACATCATGTAGACATTGAAATTTACTGCCATGGACAGTTTTCATAAATCATGATACAAGAACTGATGTTCTGATAATGTTGATTTTTGTAAACTGTATGCATGAACTGTGCAATGAAATGTGGCTGGGGATGGCACCCTTTCTGCCATGTGGGAAATAGTTTTCACAAGTATCATTTGTAATTGATAAACAAGGCCTAAAATATATTTTGTGTGAAATTAAATACCGAAGAAGAACCTCTAATCCTTCTAAGAATGAAATTAATGCAATATTCAACTGAAAAATGTATTTTTCGTTTCCCATTCAACATTTTATTGTAGTACAATTTATTATGGAATCCATTTAATGAAGAGTTCATTTTCATGAGTGGACATTATTTGATTTGGAATTATTTTAACAGAGTCAATATTCTGAATATTATGAATGTGTTACACTCATGTTTCACATCATGTAACTAATGGAAATTTGTTTATTGAAACTGGGCTTTGAAGGTGTTTCAAGGTTGATGTGGAATTTTTGCTTTTACAAAACTAAGTCTGCACCAGAATGACGAAATACCCTTCGTGACAGATTGTGGCGACACTGCTATCACTCTCATACCCTTCACATTAAAAGCAGTACAAAATGGTGTCGGATTCTGTAACTCCTGGTGTAGAACAGTGCTGTATCATCAAATTTCTGGTGAATAAGAAAGTGAAACCAACTGAAATTCTTTGCAGGTTAAATGCACAGTATGGGGAAGAGACCTTATCCTGTGTAAGTGTGCATCATATTTTCTAAGGTCATGAACATGTAGCTTACTGCATGGTCATGTGCAGCTGACAGCTGTCACAAATGTGAACATTTGTTGCATTAAGGAGGTAATTCTGAAAAAAAGTATGCATAAGTGTTGGGAGAATAGAGACATTTATAGTGTATGCACGATGGTTTCCAAAGATGCTGATGGCCAACCAGAAGGCACAATGTGTTTCTGTGTCTGCTGACCATCTGAATCAGATTGAACTGGAGGGAAATGCATTTCTGAAGCAAATAGTGACTTAAGATGGCTGTCTTATGGGTTGTTGTGCCATGTAGTCTGGTAGAAGTTTACTGACATTTCAGAGGTCCTTGCAGCCTCCATCATCCCCCTTCTACCAGACTACATGGTGCAACAACCCAGACAACAGCCATCTTCACTCACCGCTGTAAAAACCTCAAATCCTGAATAGCGACTTGTGATGAGACATGGGTACACTGCTTTACTCCAGAATCAAAGAAGTCCAGTTTGGGATGGTGCCACAAAGGATATCCACCACCAAAAAAATTGAAGACAGCCTTCAGCTGGCATGGTAATGACAAATGTCTTTTGGGATTTAGAAGGGGTAATTCATATTGATTTTCTGCCACCTCATACAATAATTAATGCTCAGTATTTTTCTCATTGATGTGTACACAGCCACTTGCAGGAAAAGGCATGGGGAACTGTTAGGGGGAGTTATCGTACTGCATGACAACACACATCCAGATATTTATTATTATTATTTATTTTGACTGCAAATGGGTTTTTACCCGGTGGCAGTGGTCCTACAATAAGACACAAATAAAACAAAAGACACAACAAAAACAATAAGACACAAAAAAACATAAGACACAAGAAAACAATGAGACACAATGAAACAATGAGCCAGAACAAAACAATAAGACACAAAAAATCATAAGACACAACAAAAACAATAAGACACAACAGAACAATGAGATAAAACAAAACAATGAGCCAGAACAAAACAATAAGACACAAAAAAACATAAGACACAAGAAAACAATGAGACACAATGAAACAATGAGCCAGAACAAAACAATAAGACACAAAAAATCATAAGACACAACAAAAACAATAAGACACAACAAAACAATGAGACACAACAAAACAACACACCACACTCAAAATAAAACAACTCATAAGATTAGAAAACCATATAACCTAAAGTACATAACTTAAAAATTAATACCAACTAGACATAAGACAGTAACAGTAATAAATTACATACGTCATGAACTGATGCACTCACATTTCATCAGGACCTTCTCTACACTTCACTACACTTCTGAAGCCTTCCCATCCTCATCCCACTTTACCCCCCTTCACTGCACCCACCCATTATTCCCTTCACTTCACCTCATTTATCACTTTTCTAACCTTCTTCCTAAAAGTACTTGGTTTACAGGAGAGAGTAACTAAAACATCAGCAGGTAGCTGGTTCCAGAGTTGGATGGTCCTATTTACAAAGGAATATTTCCCGATATCTGTTCTTTGCTTTCGGCTCCTAATTTTCCGAATATGATCGACACTGCTCTGATAATATGGCCTTTGCAATCTGTCACCTATAGCCTTCCATGCCCGTTCTCGCGTGTACGCTTTGAAGAGAGCACATATACGTGCTATCTTTCTACGCTGTGCCATGGTTTCCCAGTTCGAATCGCTCCTATGATATCCAAATTTACATGCTTTCTTTTGCACCCGTTCTAACGCATTTATCTGTCCCTCCCTGTAAGGATCCCAGCACGCCGCCCCATATTCCAGAATCGGACGCACTAGTGAAGTGTAGGCTAGACTTTTAGTGTTACTATTCACCTTTTTGAGAACACGCATTGTAAAATGAAGTGCCTTCCAGGCTTTCTTCACCGTATAATTTACTTGATCAGCCCAGCTTAAATCGCTGCTTAAGAGTATTCCCAAGTATTTACAACTGCTCACTTCCGGAATTACTTGGTCTCGTAACGAATAGTTTAGTGGTTCCTTCACCCGACTTCTCGTGAAACTAACTGCTTTACTTTTACTTAGTTTAATTTTCATAGCATTTTCAACCGCCACTCCCCCAGACTGTTTAGATCCATCTGCATCTTTTCTATATCTTTACTATTTATAATTTTTCTATATATTATACAGTCATCTGCAAAAAGTCTAATAGTCGATTCAATGTTCCTCCAAATATCATTTACGTATGTACGTATGGCGAATTTGACGAAGGTACCGTTGGCAATCTTGGACTGGGATGTCTTGAACTACCCTCTTCACAGTAAAGATTTGTACCCTGTTATCAGTAGTTTGGGCTATTGAAGGAGCATCTGGGAGAGCAGAAATTGAAGACAGGTTATAAACTAAAGTGCAGTGTCTTGAATTCATTACACAGTCAGCGTACTTCCTTCTATGCTGCCTTGCCACAGTGATAGCAAAAACATGTCAGTATAGAGGGACAGTGTGATGGATTAATAGTTTGGTGTATGTGTTTTATGTAAATAAAAAAAGTCTGGGTAATCCTTGATCCACCATCATATTAATGTAATTGGAAAAGAGAATGATCTCTGGTTTGAAACTTTCAGTTTGCTATGCATGCTGTATTTATCAAAATGCATTGTTCACATTTAGTTTTACTGGAAGGTATAACTTCAGATATCATTACTGAAATTGGTTTGTTTCATTTTATGTTGTGACAGTGTCAGATAAAATTATGGTTAGAACGTCTGATTGAAATTCATTTCCTTCCCAAAAATGTGTATGCAACAGTGAAGAAATTGTATACATGACTATGTTAGTCAAGAGAAACAATGTGTAAACACTCCAAATTAATAGTAGTAAATTTCTGTTTTATATTTAGTGCACTGATAGCTGTTTATATATTCAAAAATTATTCAGTGCATTTTGTACAATTCATGTGTTTGAAAGCTGTGCTATTAATGACCTAGTATTGTGCAGAAAGGGTTTGCATTGCTGCTTGTCCAAACCAAATGTAAGGACTTAAGCATATGGACATATGATGACTTCTCTCCTTGACATGCTTCACTATATATGGTTGGGCTGGAAGGAACTATAAATTAATGATCTTACAATTTAGTGATACATTTATATAATGTATATAATATTTAATAGTATTATCAAATTTAGTTGAAGGAATTTGAAAAGTGTTGCACTTTCACCATTTTTACAATTGTTAACACACTACTTTTCTCAAAGTAGATTTGTATGTACATTTATGCTCTGTCTCCTTACATGGTCTCCATTAGTCATTTGTAATTATTAAAAATTGAAACAATTCCATTATGCACCATTTACAGTGTAAGACTAATCTTGAGACTTGCGGGGTGAGGAAGTGGGGTGAAGGAGGAAGGAGGAAAGATAGCGTCAGCCTTTAACGCTTCAGACTTCCTGCATTCCTTGCAAGTCTCAAGATTACAGTTGCGTACTATAGGTAACTTGGGGGGAGAGAAGGTATGCTTCCTACTCATTCTTGACCTCAGCACTAGATGAGGGTGAATGGTCAGCATCATGCCCTGGCCATGCTTTACCCCTGGGGAAGGACCCTGGTACCCATTGGATGGGAGGCTGGGTGGGCCCCAGAGTTGGTCTGGATGCAGAGGCTAGAGGAAAAATCCTTATCACTATCAGACCAAACATAAATTAGATTTCACACTACAGTTTTGACTTACATTCTGCATTAAATAGCTTTTACAAAAGTTTCATATTTTTTAAAGGTATTAATATTGTTCCCACCTCACAAATTTGAATGGCCACAATGTTAGTACGTATGATGGTAGGAAATTAAGAAGTTCAAAGTTGGAGTGACATGGTGTTTTTATGAAATTTAACCCTTTCATGGTTATGGATGGAG